GCCTAAAGATATCTTCTTACTTGTGCACCAGGGTAGCCAGGAAATCCAGGTTCACCCTAGTGTCAGAAATGAGATAAGGTCTTATTTAGTGTCATGTGATTAAGATCTTTCTTTGATATTCCTTGGGGGGAAAAAAGAAGAAACTATCATTGGAAATAGACTTAAAATAGGCACCAGAAAAAAAAAAAACTATCACGCAATTGTTTTCTTGAGTTACTCCCAAATGGCCATATTGTATTTCAATTATCCAATGTAATTGAGTTTTACAAATTCTTCCTCCCTCCTTGATAATCAAACTTTCCTCTTAAGCATTTTTTAATCTATAGGTTTAAATAACCAGAGGGATGATCCAATGGAAACCAAAGGGAAGGGAACGGCCACCACACCGACTGCTGGGAGGCAGGTGCTCACTGTCAGACCAAAGATGGACTACAAAGCAAGTATTCACTCAGCAAATATTCACTTAGCACCTACTCTGTGCCAGGCAGTCCTCTAGGCACCAGGAAGTCAGTGGTGAACAGACCAAAGACCCTGCTATCAGGGAATCGACCTGCTAGTGAGGAAGAGATGCACAGTCTGTCAGGGGGAGCTCAATGCTATTCAAGAAAAAGGACTAAGGAATAAAGAATGACACAGGTAGGGGCAAGAGGGGTAACTATTTTATATAAGGAGGTCAGGTAAAAGCTTTTTGTAAAGGTGGCATTTGAGTAAAGACCAGCATGAACTGAGGAAGCAAGCCAAGTAGATATCTCGGGAGAAGAGCATCCCGGGGGAGGAGAGAGGATGTGAAGATCGTGAACAAGGGTGTGAGCGTGTGCTGTGCTGGAGGAGCAGTGAAGCAGAATGAGGGGCGGGGGAGGGGCAGGAGGCGACGAAGTCGGAGAGCTCACGGAGGGGACAGCTGACGTGGAGTCTTGTAGGCCATCTAACAGTGGGGCAACTCTGAATGACATCAGAAGCCACAGCCAGGCTTTGAGTAAAAGAGTGACAGGATCTGACATGTGTTTAAAGGATGGCTCTGGTTCCTGCGAGGAGAGCTCACCAGAGGAGGTGGGGGCAGAAGCAGGGGGAACAGGTCGATGGCTGTTGCCTTAATCCAGGTGGAAAATCACATTGGCTTGGCCCAGAGGGTGGCAACGGCGGTGATGAGATGTGGTGCAATGCTGGACAGCCTGTGAAGACAGACTCACCATTGTTTGTTGATGGATTAAGTGCAACAGGTAAGAGAAAGAGACTTATTTAAGATGACAGAAGCATCTGTTTTGAGTAACTGGCAGGAGGGAGTCTCCACTCCCTGAGATGAAGGAGCGAGGTGCTTTA